GAGTAAACTGACGCTCCAGCCGATTGTAGCTTTTCGCACATGTGTTTTGCATTAATTGCATAGCAACCGTTATCTCTAGCCCGCGTACAGTTGCCGCTGGCGCTGCCTGACGCGATCCCTGCCGTGGCTCATTGAAGAGCTGTGTGTGCAAATTTAGAGTGTGGCCTCGCCAGATTACGGTAACTAAGGTGAAAACCATGTCGTGGAAAAGTACGATTTATGTCAAAACGAAGGAAGCTATGCGATTTGTAATACTACCGGAAGATAGAATAAGGACCAGTGAACAAAAGAAGCTCATGTTTGTATACATTTGTATTTTTATTCACATCGAACTCGCACGACAAATATGTAGTGAAATCAGTACCAAATCGCTGTCTTACTCCTTTGTCATTATACGCTCCTGATTTCAGCTAACAAATAGCATAGTTATCACAGAACTAACCTTCAAGTAAACTTCTGTGTCAATCACTCCTTTTCTCAAGGCCTCGCCAAGATAATAAATAGCATCTTGTGTTGCATTCTCTTCAGAAAAAGCATTTAGTATTCTGGAAAAACAGAAATTGTATTTTGTTAGATAGCCATGTCAAATCATGAAACAATTATAATTCTCAATTGCTTTGAAAATAACATACACATTCTATCATCCACTGATATCATGCACGTTCTTGCTAATAAAACGAGTCATCAGTTATGCCACAGACTTTGAAGAATGGGGAACGATTTTCGCAATAATTCCAAGTGACACTGCTTTCTTTAAAACAGCAATAGTTGTGTCACTGGCATCAATTTACTGCAAAGAACACTTATTTAACATAAGCCATTTCGCCTGAGGGTAACTACATATATATATATATACATATATACATATATATGTAGTTACGCTCTGGCGAAATGGCTTATGTTAAATAAGTGTTATTTGCAGTTCTTCAAAAAAGTTCTTTAAATACGACACGGTTTCACACAGTTTTCCCAAATGTTCGCATGTATTCGGCGCATGTTGATATGCGGCGGCAGCACCAGCTTGTAACTACGGGACGCTGGGGGCTGTTGGGGATATTAGGTAAGCACAGTAACAGCACTTGCTCCGCTTCCTTATCATCAGGAACACGATGGTAACACAGCTGAAATCAGCTGCTAGCGCGCCGTGAGCACACATTTATTTCTAGCACGCTGGAAATGCTACATGCTGAATACAATTCGATGCCTAATATCCCCAACAGCCCCCAGCGTTCCATCATAGACAATAGAACACTAATCCGATAATAAACTTGCGCCGAATACATGCGAACATTTGGGAAAACTGTGTGAAACCGTGTCGTATTCAAAGAACTTTTTTGAAGAACACATACGATTTTCAGGTAAATTGGTGGTGTCATATGATTAAACTGTCTACGTCACGAATTTCGAGCACTAGCAAGTAGTATATTTGTGTGTTATTTGTACAAAATAAAATGTATGAAAATACAATTAGCGTTTCTATTTACTTTTCATGCTCATATACCTTCTTTAT